TGAACTTTGTCATGATATTCTAATTTTGTGGAATACTGGATTTGGTTTTTTTTTGTCTTTAATCCATAGTCATCAAAATTGAAACAAATAAAGGCTTGAAATATTTCACTTTGTGTGTAGTGAACTAATATAATATATAAGTTTCACTTTTTGAAACAAATTATTGAAATAAATGGACTTTTCCTCGATATTTTAATTTTTTGGCACATACCTGTATTTATTCTCCCAGGGAGATAACCACAGGTCTGCTCAGTAGGTAACACTCCGGATCTCAGTCTCAGTTGCTCTGGACATTGAGGTGTCAAGTCAATCATTAAATAGCCGTGTGGGTCTTTTGTTGCGTCTTCATAGCTCTCCATAAAATAAGCTTTCTACTTGGGAAAAATCTGATGCGCTAGTATAGAGATTTGCAGTTTATCGTGTGGGTTTTTAAATAAAATGATGTGTGTACTGTTTAGACTTAATGTTCTGCTGTATTTGCCCTTCTGAAAAATATTTTGCGTTAAAAACATGACCGACATCTGGCGGTGGTGACGATATTGTGTAAAGATTCTGACAACTTCTGGATGGTCCAGAGCTTCAAAGATAACATCATCCAAAATAATGAGGTGTTTCTGATCTGTGGGAAACAGAGCTTCATCCTGGAATGACAAAGGCAAACCTTCCACAAATTTTATTCCTTTATTCATGTTTTGCAAATCAGCATACATTGGTTGATAGGAGGTGTAGATCCAGACAACATTCTCGAGTGCAACATCCGTTACATATTTACAATGTACAAGAAACTTTTTTACAAAGAAAGTCTTTCCAACCATGCAGGAAAACGGCGCTTTTAGACCAGGGTAAAAATTCTTTGTTACCTCCTCCATCGGTTACGTGAATAAGCTGTTTTTAGTAACTAAATGGTCAACTTGAGCCTCCTGCAAGTAAACGTCTCTTGTCAAACACAACCCTAAATCTTTTATCGACAAAGGACTTTTTTAAATCAAAGGTCTTTTTATCCCTGATAATGTTGTGCTGAGGTGTTGTCAAGATTTCAGGCTCTGCCTTTTCAATATAGTTTTGCACTAAATATTTGACAGAGTCAAAATTTACGTGCTCACAACACTCATAGCTCTGCGTGATCCCCTTCACTTTGATCTCCACCTTCCCTCCTCTCGTCTGATATCCATAACTTTTAGGACCGGCTGAAACAAATTCTTTGATGTAATCAGAATTTAACTCATCGGTTAAATCTCCGAGAAAATTACCCAGAGGCAACTCACTCTGACCCTCTTTAGTGGAATAGATTAGACTGTCTGTATCATAGTAGAGAACCCTCTTTTCAAGCCTCTCCAGATGACTGTAAAGTTTTAATCTC